GCAAACTCTCCACAGGAGCCTCACCCTGGCAACACCTTGCTTTTAAACTTCTGGCCTCCCTCCAAAATTAATAAGACAATAATTGTGCATTGTCTGAAGACACCCGGTTTGTGGCTGTTTGTTAAGGAAGACATAAGACCTCACCTGCCCCTAAAAAATCCCCTGATGATCTACTCTTCAGTCTCCAAGCACTGCTAAAATTCAGAGCTTTGGGACTTGTTCCCAAGGAGTAATGCACAAATCTCTTCCCAAGGGACAATTCATGCCACCAAAATCATGCACCTAAAATATTCATTTGTATGCACGAATATTCCCCAGCCTGAGTCACTCAAAGGACCACAGTTAACTGGGTGAGATTGGGTTGAAGCCTAAGATCTATTCATGACTGATTGATTGAAATAATTGATTGTAGAAAGCATTCACCAAATGCTTTCTATGTGCCAAGAACGGTACATGAGAAGCTGTTTTCAAGTTATATTCCTAGCCCCATCTTAAGATATTTCCCCAAATCTCACTTGAGACTATAAAGCCCTACTTTTCCTGCTAATCCACTGTTGCATTGGTGCTGTTTCTTTTGCTCAAAACCCTTGATATTCTTTAATCTCTACAAGCTAGGTTAAATCACATCTCCATTGTGGAACCTTCTTTCATTCTTCAGAGACTGGAAAAACGTGTTTATATTCCTCCTCAGAGCAATTCTAGGAGGGAAAAATCTATATTACTCTAGACATTATTTTTATTTTTTTTTGAGACAGAGTTTCACTCTGTTGCCGGGGCTAGAGTGCCGTGGCGTCAGCCTAGGTCACAGCAACCTCAAACTCCTGGCTCAAGCAATCCTCCTGCTTCAGCTTCCCGAGTAACTGGGACTACAGGTATGCACCACCATGCCTGGCTAATTGTTTCTGTACATTTTCATTTGTTCAGCTAATTTCTTCCTATTTTTAGTAGAGAAGGGGTCTCACTCTTGCTCAGGCTGGTTTCAAACTCCTGACCTTAAGCGATCCGCCCACCTCGGCCTCCCAGAGTGCTAGGATTACAGGTGTGAGCCACCGCACCCGGCCAAGACATTATTTTTAAAAATGAGTGATTATAAAAATTAGGCACAATTACAGAGCTTGAAGAACTGTGATATCCCTAAATGCCCTGAACTGATCACTACACCATTCTATGCATGTAACAAAATGTCACGTGTACACCATAAATATGTACAGATATTATGTATCAAAAATTTTTTTAAAAGAATATTTTAAACTATCGTTTAAATCCCAAATCCTTTTGTGCAATACAGTCCACACACCCAGAGCCCAGGCTTTGAAAGGCATTGTGCATCACAAACACAAGTCAACAAATAAACACGTGGCTCTGATAATGGACAACAGGCACCTGTCGGTTAGAATCCACGGCTCTACTCCAGCATAGCGTAACTGCAGCCAGAAACATCTGTTCCCACGGCTAACACCTTGCATGTCTCCAAAACCTCTCCAAGTCCTGACCTACGTTCCTGGAACCAGAGGTGACTTGTTTCCATGCCCAGAAGGTCTGTGAGTTACAGCTTTGCCATTTTGGAGACTGACATTGCTTTGTCGCTTTGGGATGTGGAAGCATTTGAGCTGCAGAAATCTGCAGGTGAGTAGGAAAAAAAAAATGCGCTAATTCGTCAAACGCTTGCTTGAATAGAGTCTTCGGGTGGAAGCTCTGGCTAAGAATGGCTTTTCCCAGTGTAAGTGGTTACACTGTGAATGAGTCTAGAAGCACCTACATGATACCCTAGGTTTTACCTCCTAGACTGGGAAGCCTAAAATACTGACCATTGTGCTTTTTACAGAAAAATAGCTTGCCAACCTCTAATGCAGAAGATTGTTGGATAATAAGTATCATGTCCCAAGACTGCCAAGCACGGATTTACTTTCTTCTCATTTTCCAAATATGGGTTCCTGCTTTACTCAGAAATTAGTGTGGCATTCACCAAAGATGCACTTGGCCATGGAACAACGCTGTCACTATATTTTAAAAATATATATTATCTGCATATATATGTACGTGTATATGTGCATGTGTACACATACAAAAATATGTGTGTGCATATATGTAGTTTTATATGTTGCATCGAAATTATGATTGTCAGTCCTTATTTTAGCCACAAAGTGAATGGCAGAATGTTAAATGTTAAATGCAATTAGTCCCCTCTTTAAAAAAATGTTAAATTTTAGACTAAAGTGTATGTTTTAAACATAAACTAAAAGCTCTACATTTATTTAAATCATTTACTGTATAAAATTTAATGTTTATTAATTACAATTTGTGTTATCTTTCATTAGACTTTATATATTTAAGTGAAAACCCACTTCTTGAAAATATGAAATTTTGTTCCTCATGATTTGGTATTTTTATGTATTTTGATTTACAGAAATGTAAATATTTTATACAATTACATTTAATTCTTTAAGCCTTTAGAGCAGGATCACATCCAGCCCCATTGCCCATCTCTTAAACCTTTATTTTTAAATACAATGTCATTGGAACACAGATATACCCCTTTTTTACCTACTGTCTGCAATTGCTCTCCCAAGACAAAAGCAACTGCTCATCGCTTTTAATAGTGAAAAATTGGCAAGATTTATTGGAGGCATCGATCTAGAGGTTATAATGAACAGAAACTAATATAAGATCTACTATTTCTTAATCATCTATATAATTTATGACTTACACAAAAACAATCCCAATCAAAAAGGAACTAAAACTTTAGAAACTGCAAATACTGAATGAAATATTCTCAAATTTTAGCAAGCATCTCCACCCTCTAATTTCTTTCTCTCTCACCTGCTTTGGGTCAGCATAACTCTTGCAAAGAAAAGTAGTGATAAGAAGAGCCAGGGTTCTGCGATCAGCCATTTAGCACGTGCAGAATACACCATCAACATGCACAAACACGTCTGTGGTCCTGGCACTGGGAAGGGGTCTGTGACTATTCAATGGTATTAAGAAATTCTGCCCTTGAATGTTTATAGCAGCACAATTCACAATTGCAAAGATGTGGAAATAACCCAACTGCCCATCAATACATGAGTGGATTAATAAAATGCGGTACATGTACACCATGGAGTTCTACTCAGCTCTAAGAAACAACGGTGATCTAGCACCTCTTGTGTTATCCTGGATGGAGCTGGAGCCCATTCTACTAAGTGAAGTATCCCAAGAATGGAAACACAAGTACCACATGGACTCACCATCAAATTGGAACTAACTGATCAAGGCTTAAGTGCACATATAGTAGTAACATTCATCAGGTGTCAGGAAGGTGGGAGGGGGCAGAGGGGATAGGTAAACTCACACCTAACGGTTGTGGTATGCACTATTGTGGCCCATTTGTAGGATGGAGGATGAACACAGAACACAAAACGAAAATGCGGAACACAAAGAAAAACACAGACACACAAACAGAAGGCTGAAACCAGTAATAATACACCAGATCAGTTTTATTTTTATACTCTAAAAAATTAAAGTTAGTTCTTGTACGTAACCACCCAGGCATTTCGGCAATGGCCATAAATTCTGTAATACATAGCCTTAGGGAAGCAGATATCCCCTGACTCAAGGTTTCCAGGTGGTTGTTCTAGGCTCCAGGCATAGATCACGGACCGAGATTAGCAAGGATGAGCAAGGCAAGCCACAGGGGGTTATTTCTCATCCCCAGCTTTTATTAGGGTGATCCCCTAAGATCTTCAGCTGAACCCTGGTGGCTGTGCATGGATTAGGTCGCCCCTCCCTTGAGGGGTCTTACTCATCATTGACTAACCAGCCATCTTATGGGGTGTACGCAGCAATCACAGGAACAATGTGTTTATCGTGTGGCCTCCAGACCTCCAAAGCTGTGGGGCTGGGCAGTTCTTGCTTAGTTGCAACTCAGGTCCTTTGTTATGCTTCTAGGCAACAGTTTTTGTTTATCACAGGGAGCCTGACCGGAACACATTACTTGCAAATGCTCTGGGCAGAACACGTACATTACTCACTAACTTTATTTCTTAAACTAGGAAAATATATGTCAGTCCCCTACAGTGCACTGTCTGGAGGATGGACATGCTTGTAGCTCTGACTCAGGCAGGCAATTTATGTAACCAAAGAGTTTGTACCCCCAAAATACTCCGAAATTAAGAACACAAAAGAAAAGAAATTCCCCATGAATCTCAGAGGAGAAACGTACCACATCCAGAAAAGAGACCCTTCACCAAACAAGACCTCAGCATCTACCTAGGATCCTGTAAGGAACCTATGAAAATGTCCTTGCCTTCAAAATCCACAGTGCCAAGCTGGATGAAAATGAGAAGCTTAATTCTAAAAGAAGAAAAAGTTGGAAATAAAGACAACAAAACTGAAAATGATCGTTGTGCAACCAAAGTTAGCAGTGGCATGCTACCCAACTAATTTACACCTTGTAGAGAACTGAATTAAACTATTCCTCCTTGAATTCTAATGGGTAAATTTTGAACAGTGACATAAAATTGTATAAAGAATGTCAGACCTCTGCTGCCGTCAGCTACAGTGGATATCTGCATTATTTTCCACACAAAATTCACCACTCAACTATACCAAAACGAGCTGCAAAAAACAAACAAACAATCAAACAAACTCACCAGGAATCTCTGATCTTTTTCTTTGCCCACAAAAATTCCTTTCTAAGGGGGTCTGTTTGGTCATGCTTACAAATGACAAAATCTCAGTCAATAGGTTTTTATGATGTTATTTACTTCCTGACCAGGTTCTGGTATAACATCTCATGAAGTATAGAAGACCCTTATCTTTTTTTTTTTTTTTTTTTTTAGAATCCAGCGGCTTTTATTAGGTTTGTCTCCTATACCATGAATTCATAGGGAATAGATTCTGGCAGCTCAAGGTCCTTTCTTTGCTTCTCACAGGTGTGCCATACCTATTACACCATGAATTCACAGGGAACAGGTCCCGACACCTCAGGCTCCTTTCTGTCGCTTCTCACAAAGTGTGAGACACCTATTATGCCATGAATTCATAAGGAATAGGTTCCAGCAGCTCGGGCTCCTTTCCATTGGCTCTCACAAAGTGTGCTTCTCTGGGTGGAGCAGGCTGTCGCTTCAGTTGAACCCAGGTACCTTTCTCTTTGGCTTCCTTCTTTTTCTGATCATTTTCCTTCACACGCTTCAGGAAGCTATCTCGGCTCTTAGAGTGCTTAATGTGCTCGATACGTACATTAATACTCTTGGCAAGAATCTTGCCCTTAACTTGTTTATTTACAACAATTCCAACAGCATGCTGTGTAACGTTGTAGACTCTTCCAGTTTTGCCATGGTAACATTTGTGGGGCACGCCTTTTTGAACAGTACCCATTCCCTTGATGTCTACAATATCACCTTTCTTGTAGATTGGCATGTATGTGGCCAAAGGAACAACTCCATGTTTTCTAAAAGGCCTAGAGAACATGTATCGGGTGCCTCTCCTCTTTCCCTTTGTGTTCGTCATTTTGGCGAATTACTGGAAGATGGCGGCTCCGGCCGAAAGGCGAAGACCCTTATCTTAACTCAAGCATTCCCTTCCTCTGATTCCTGGTCTTTTGGACAAAGCCTAACTCTTCCAGCCAATTGTCAGCTAAAGAATCTCTGAATCTACCCATGACTTTTAAGTCCCTGCTTTGAGATGCCCTACCTTAATCCCTAAACCCACCTGTAACCTGTAAGCTCCTGCTTTGAGATGTCCCACCTTTTTGGACCAAACCAATATATATGCCTTCCATGTACTGATTTATGACTTCACCTGTCACCCCTGTCTCCCCAAAATGTATAAAACCAAACTGTGACCCAGCCACAGAGAATCCACTTGCTCAAGGCTTCCTGGGCGTGGCTCTTGGCCATGGTCCTCCAATTTGGCTCAGAATAAACCTCCTTAAATTATTTTGCAGAGTTTGTCTTTTTTTCCATCGACATGGGGTTAAATAAAAGATATTTTATCACGGTTAATTTCACCTGCATCTTAGTCCCCTGTGGTTAGAATAACAAAGAACCACAGACGGGGTGGGTTAAGCAACAGAAATGTATTCTTTCACAGTTTTTGAGAACAGAATCCCAAGATCCATATCAGCAAGGTGGCTTCCTTCTGAGGGCTGCGGGGGGGTTGGGGGGGTGGGGGGGATTTTTTAGAAGCATTTAGATATGCAGAAAATATTATTCAGCTCTCAAATTCATAGGGGTTCTGGCTAATGAGGAATGGAGGAGAATTCTTTCTTAGGGTTTAGTCTCTTCCTTAGATTTTTAAAGGAACATATATCTTGAAACTCTGATTTCTTCTCCAATTTTTTATTAAGTCCTTTTCATAGCTCCACCTATAAAAGGTGTCTTTCACATGACCTCTCGAACAATATCACCATCAAAACTTGGAGATTTTAATGCACCTTTTTGTAATATTCCTAAAATTTGCCATATGAAAAAATGTTACTCATTCCAGTGCTATATATTTGGAGGAGGCATTCATTTCTGGAAAAAATAAATGGATATCTGGAAGCTATTCAAATTCAAATTTCTACCAAATAGCCCCTCTGAAAAGAAGAAGATTGAAATTGGGGGAAAAAAATTGACAGTGCATTATGTAAATTTGTTTTCAGGGTTTGAACAACAACAAAAAAATTAGTTTTTTCAATATTCTTGATGACAGATTTTGCTATTTGCAGAATAGGCTTAGTTCACAATAAAATATATATTATTTATGTTGAAGAGCTTTGATAAATTTGGAATAATGAATGTCAAATTGCTTAGAATCAGCATTTCAATGTGAAAAACCCATAGTCTCACAGTTTATAGGCTGTTTAATTTACTGTATTCAAATTTTAACCATTGTCATGACTTGTTAGCGTACACAAAAGCAAGATGAAACACACAGAACGGTCTCTAATATAAAAATGGGAAGTATAGTTACAGATCTCTCTTAATGAAAACCCAAGAGTTAGAAACTCTTTTTCTGAAACTATGCTAATTTTCTTAGTAAAATGTTATGTTCAAAATGAACCTTTCCACTGAGCTTTCTGCATCTTGCTTAAATAAAAACTTTCCAGGCGGGTCAGGAGACCTTTGGGAATTCTCGCACGCCATTAAGTTTTCTGGCCACGTTCTATGGATAAATCTTTGTCAGCCTGTGCAGGTATGGCTTAAAACACTGTATAGGAATTCCTATAGCAGGTTCCATTGCCATCATTCTATTCCTAAAAGTTCATTTCAAATAAATTGCAAATTGGAATACAAACAAAGAATGATGTAGTCTCCAATATCTGGGCATTTTGGTCTTAATGAAAAATTATGCATATCTGACATTCTTAATGTTTCTGCTGAAGGGTAAATCAAATCTCAGCTATTGGTGCCCACCATAAGAAGCATATCACCTGTCTTCATTGCCAATTATATCACGTATAAAGTTGGGAGTCAGGTGACCTCACTCCTGGTCGATCATACCCTGCACACGGTGTGTGGCCAGTGGTCACGGATGATCAACAGGAGCGAGTCTTTAAAATCGCCCACTGCAGTGCACACCAGTGAGGCAGAAGAAGAGAACCTCACAGGCAAACAGCTAGCAAACGTGATACCAAATCATTGCTGATTACAATTTTTTTTAGTAAAAACGTAAGAGTTTTTCTGTTAATTAAAAGCATTTCTCTGGATCTAGACAGTGGTGATGGCCACCTAGCTTTGTGAATGCTCTTAGTGTCACTGAATTGTATACTCTGAGGTGGTTACGATGGTAAATTTTACATCATGCACATTTTATTATCGCAAGTTTTTTTTCCTTTTATTTTCATATTAATGGGTACAAAATGTTAGGTTACATATATTCACCCCTGCATTTTCCCCTGCCCTGCTTGCAAAACAATCAAGCAAGTTCCTACTCCAGGTGGTGTGCTCACACACTATTTTATAATATATTATACCTTCCTTCCTCCCCCTCCCATCGCCCACACCCGATAAACTTTTTTTTTTTATTTTTATTTTGACTTTGTACATGTATATCTTTCCTTCCCTACAAGGTTAACGTATTCTTCCCCGCTCCCAATGCTCGCCACAACCCTAAATGTGGTATGCGCCCCTCCCCAACACCTGATAGCACTACCAGCCATTTGAGCCATAGATCTTAACAGTAGTACAATTTTTGGAAAATGGCGAGTAGATGTGGAAGAGCCATTTTCTTGATCTTTGCGTCACTGCAAGTTTTTAAGATCCATGCACGCTGGTGTACAATGATTAATAATAATGTATTGTGTACTTCAATACTTGCTCTAGAGCGCGGGGCGTGGTGGCACCGCCTTACTAGATCCTAGCCCTATGGAGGTTGAGGCGGGTGATTCTCATAGGAGTCTTGAAACCAGCTGAGCAAGAGGGAGATCTAACATCTCTACTATAAAAAGAGGAAAGAATTAATTGGCCAACTAAAACATAATAGAAAATTAGCTTGGGCATGGTGGCAGTGCCTGTAATGTCCCAGCTACTCGGGAGGCTGAAGGCATGAGGATCGCTGGAGTCCAGGAGATTGGAGGTTGCGTGAGTCGAGGCTGATGCCTACAAGCATCACTCTTAGCCTGGGCAAGCACAGTGGAACTCTTGTCTCAAAATATATATAATACATATATAAATGGAAAATAACTTATTTGATTATTATATATATATTGCTCAGAGCATATTTAACTATGCTTATCATAAAATAATACATAGTATGGCGCGATGGATATATTACTAGCTTGATTTAATCATTCCACAATGTACACATATTAGACATGCATCTAAACACCACAGGTTACCAGGTTACCCATTTAAAAAAGAAAAAGAACAGAAATAATATTCTCACTAATGAAAATAATTATTTGATTATTTTATAATATATAAAAATACTTATGCAATACATATAATATAATATGTTAATTAATAGAATTAATTGATTTTAGTGATTACTTTAATCAATGTTTGTGCATATTGCTACTTTCTTTCTGTCTTTTCGATTTCAGACTCAACTACCCACTACTGGCCAAAGAGAACCAGTGAATGCAGTCGAGAAAAAATAAGAGCTCTGATCTTTCTCCCATTCTCTCAACAAGTAGGCAACTATTTCCCAGCCAAACGACAAAAAAATCGCCTTAAGTGCCAATTCTGTATGTTTTTGTAGAAAATTTGCATGACTTAACTGAGAGTCCTCAAACGCACTCAGCGTGGTTGGAACACTGTGTTCGTCCTGCGTTACTGCAGAAATGCCGGTTTTCATTTCTGGGGAAAAAAATCTCAAGAACAAATATTCCTCAATCTACCCTTGAAACCACCAAAAAGACTTGAAAACAACAACAAAAAAATGCACATCACTGCTTGGATCTAGACAGCTGCCTGCAATGTGGCAAATATTTGGGAGAATTTCCTAATATGGGAAAAAAAAAACACCTAGATGGATACAGATCTTGGATATGCACAATGCCTCTTTCTCAGAAAGTGGCTTTGTGTTGTAAGAGAAACTGAGAGAAGATTCGTAACTTGTTTTTTTAAAAATTATCGTCACAATCACGCTCACGTTCCACCACTTGCATTTCACCACCTGGTCCTGGGCTTCTTCACCTGTTCTCCTGACAGCTCCATGATCTCCAGTAACAAGAATCCCACATTTTGGTAAAATATCACCACTGCACCAGTTTCTCCTCTTCTTCACGATTTCCCCACGTGCTTCAGTTATTCACTTTGCATATCCCAGATACAGGCTCCAAGCTCATCCATTTCAATCCCTTCCTGACTTTGCTCTGTCTCCAGGGCACTAAGCGGGAGAAACCCCACAGGTCTTGAAGTGAGCTCCCTCCCGGCTCTCAGCAGGCTCCCTTTGCAACTGAACGTGGCTGGGGAAAAAAGAAATTCTCCACCCAACGGCATGAGGCATTTAATAAGCATTTGTGATGCCTGGTTGCATAGTATTAGTGTCTTTTCGATGCCTTAACAAATTGGCACAAACTGGGTGTCTTAAAACAGCAGAGATTCATCCTGTCCCAGTCCTGGAGCCTGGGAGTGTGAGACGCAAGAGTCTCAGGCTGCGCTCCCTCCATAGGTTCCAGGGGAGGCTCCTTCCTGCCTCTTCCAGCTCCTGGGGCTACAGGTGTCCCCGGGCTTGTAGCTGCAGCATTGCTCCAATCTCTGCCTCCATCTATCTCCATGTGGCTTTCTGTCTTAGCTCAGGCTGCCATAAGGAAATGCCACAGACTGGGTAACTTAAACAACAGACGTTTGCTTCTCATTGTTTTGGAGACTGGGCGTCTGAGATCAAGGCAGAGTTCGTTCCAGGTGAGGGCTCTCTTGCTTGTTTGCAAACGGCCGCCTTCTTGCTGTGCTGTCATTATGTTGGAGAGAGCTCTGGTGTCTCTTCCTCTTCTTATAAGGGTGCAAATCCCATATGAGGGCTCCACCTTCATGACCTCATCTAACCCTAATCACCTCCCAGAGATCTTATCTCCATTAGGGCTTCAACGTATGAATTCAGTGTGGACACACTTTGGTCTAT